AGTGAATCAATCCAGATTACCGGAAAATTGCACTAATTTCCTAGTTCATCCTTTTCTATCAGTATTTAGATGCAGATTATCTCTATTGCATGCCACCTGATGAGCCACTAAGCCGACCTAGTTAAAGTAACAAATGGCCCCTCATGCAACACAAGGTTATATCAGTTACTAACCTGGAAATATCAAGAGTTATCACTTTAGGTTATATTAAGTTTCCATAATTATAGCTCCCTCCCCATAAATATGATGTAACACCATGAAGCAGGTGGCTCTAGCTGGCTCTGGCTCATATATTTTCCCCTCTCCATCCCTCCCCAGTTCTTCCTTTTCTATCCTTATTTAGATGCAGATTATCTTAATCTCATGCCACTTCATGAGCAACTAAGCCTCTTTATGAGCGCCAAAATCGGTATGGGCTGTTCATTCTAAATCTATTAAATACCTCAAATTTAAATTCTAGCTTTTAAATACCCATTTCCAGCAATTTCCCATCATCTTCAACAGTGCTAAATTACAAAATTTAGCATCTAGGCTGAGAAATGTCTATGGATGAATACATTTACTTGAAGTCCAATTATTAAGATAATTTTCTTACAAAAAAAATGTTGAAGTATTAATACTTAAATTACATAATCTCCAACATATTAAACTTTTGGAGTAGATGGTTATTTAACATAATAGAAGTCCTATGTTCGAATCTCACTGCCACCCTAATTATTAAAAAGATTTCCACGTGCTAGGTCAAAAATCTAGCCTACACATGAGGGGGCGTGTTGAAGTATAAATACTTAAGTTACACCCTCTACAATAGCTTAAGCTTTTGGAATAAATGGTTGTTTAACAAAAAAATAAAAAATAAAAAAAGAAACGTTCGTTAGTCACAAAAGAGATAAGCCTACAACTTCCTTGTAAACACATCCAAAAGTGTAAAGATAATTTGAATTTGAGAGAGAAAGAATTCATATTTCTTTTCTTGATTTACCCAAAAAGTTCCCCCGAAAAAAAAACTCATGCTATCTACACGGTCATTGTTAAGGCAATATCACTAGAGCCTCATAGGAAAGTAGTAGCAGCCAAGAACATCTGATGAAATAACACGTGAATGTGGTAATCTCTAATGAAAAATATATCTCCATGAGCAAAAGCTCCTGTCATGATGATGTCGCACTACTTTCTACATCTCTTAAGGACATAATCCTATAGTAATATAAAGCTACACTTTCTATGTCATAATTTTGAGGGAAAAATCCTAAATCAGAGCCTTAAACCTACAATTCGCATTATAGTTATGAATGCAATTTGAATATGTTTCTTCAATCAAAATTATTAAGTTAAAGGATCATTTGTTTACATGACACAAAATGAAAATTCAAAGTGTAAGCATAGGCCAAACATCCTAAGTTGAAAAAATTGGAACTTCTCAAGCTTTCATATTTTAATTTTTTTCTGCTCTGTCCTGCTTTATCTTTGGTAAAGACATTAATGAACCTTCCTTTCTCAAGCAACGTGTCCCCGCTGCTCTCCATTTTAAATCCCCTAAACTAGAGACAAGTTTCATTTGTATGATTTTGTGATTTTTAATATTAAAAACAATAACGACTAATATGTACACAAGGAAATTACAGTCTCATCGCTCACGTGACTCATCCAGGTGGTTAGCATGTGAACTCATAACCATTTCTTTTTCTCCTTCAGCAAACTTGTAGTTTAAGGTAACAGAGGGGCACAACCCATACACACATGCAGTGGCACTCACTAATATTTCTTGGAATCAACTAATAATTAAAAATATCAATACATTCATTCTGAACTATGAATCACAGATGCGTGTTTTAAGCTCATGTATCGGTGCCCCAGACACCTAGGACATAGACACGCTCTAGACACGTGTCCAACACACAAAATAGAGTGTTTGAATTTATTTATTTTTTTCGAATTTGGGACATGTCCAGGACAGCTTAGGGATACTTCCGGATACGCGTGGAACAATTTTATGCCATTTCAATCTATTGAAAATGCTTACATTTGTAGATTTATGTGTAAGAATCGATGAACCAGATGCACCTCTAGAAAAGAAAAGTCACAGAGCCATAAACAGAGATTGTGACCCACATGTTTACTGCCATGGCTTCTGCTACTGGCTGGAGATTCTAAAGAGGAAAAAAAAGATGATAAGAGAGACGGAAGTTGTAGAGGAAAAGTTGTGCGGGGGGAAGAGAGAGAGAGAGAGAGAGAGAGAGGNATATGTTTACTGCCTTGGCTTCTGCTACTGGCTGGAGATTCTAAAGAGGAAAAAAAAGATGATAAGAGAGACGGAAGTTGTAGAGGAAAAGTTGTGCAGGGGGAAGAGAGAGAGAGAGAGAGAGAGAGAGGAGTCGTGTAGCAGAGAAGAGTCGTTTGATTTTTCTGTACTTTTACTGAATGAAAGATAGAATAAGGAATCTTACTTTTATCTCATATCTGCCACGTGCCACATCTGGTTTTATTGTCGGATTACACCTTATCCAACTTATCTGAAACTTACCAATGGAATGTGGCCTGGACTTGTATCTTTTGGGTTTTACATTAGTGCAGTACTTTACACAGTGGATAAAATTTCTGCCAAATTTGGACCTCTACGCTAATATTTTGCCTTCAATTTATGCATACAAATGAATGTATTAGGGTCAAATTTAGGAACCCATGGTCATAGAAAATATGTCTTAAGCCAAATATGAGAACTTCTTGTCATATGAAAATAAAAGAGTATATATTTTATTTAGCGTGTCCTCAACGTGTATGTGTCCTACATTTTAGAAAAATGTCCAGTCTGCATGTCCGTGCCATATTATTTCTGTGTCCGTGTTTGTGCTTCTTAGATTGTGAAATAACTTGGAGCCATATTATGTCTATGTCCGTGTTTGTGCTTCTTAGATTCTGAAATAACTTGGATAAGAGCTTCCATAGGGAGAAGGGAAATCTAAGAGGATATTAAACTTAGATGAGGTACTTGGACTAAACAAGCTTCGGGTTAAGAGTGTTAGAGAATCTAACTGAAAACCAATTGATTATTGGTGGAGTGGCCTCTGAAGTACATAAACTAATCTTGGTTCTCCTAATTATTTGATGCGGGATACAAACTCTCTTAACATCATCCTTCACATGGGACCCAGACTCGCATATGTGGTCAACAAACAGACAAATAACTTTGAATACCGAAAAATTCAAATGGATTAGAGATTTGGCCCACCGACCACTTAAGACCCAACTTTGATACCAAATTAGAACATCCAACCAAAAACCAATGGCAATAGGTAGAGGGGCCCCTTAAGTATATAAACCATCTTTGGTAGTCCTAATTATTCAATGTGGGATACAAACTCTCTTAACAAGAAGTTCAAATGTTACTAAGGCTTTGAATGAAGTTCATTCAAAACTATAATTAAGGTTTTTGCTGATGTATCGAGATAACTCAATCCATCTTTGAGATCAAACTAGGTGCAATAAGAGGAAAAAAAATCTCTTGCATCCCTTTAACTCTACTCAATTATGATGACAATAACTAATCAAAAATTAGAAGAAACAATTACAACACCTTCCAATCAACTAAAAAGTGCAGAGGTGATGTCCACAGTAATGAATATAGAGGCAGTAAGTATGCTTGAGAAGCTGGTGGGAAGATAGCATTCGTCCAAATGACAAACCACCAAGGTATTAACATTTATAAACTTGAGAAAGCAATAATCAAAAGTACCAAAACTTTTTGTTATCAAGTTCTATAACATGAACATGATTCCATCAAATTAACTTATAGAGGATAGCCTTCATGACTGCAGTATTGCCAATAATCACTATCTCACCCAATGTAATTTTTTCTCCATGATTATTGCAACTCAGCCGTACACAACTCCAAAAATACCTATCATACACAACAGACAGACATATTGAACTGTAAGCTCTGATGCACTCAATGTCTAAATAAAGATGATCAAAATAAGGAAGCATAGGGTTTTCTTTTCTGGTATAAGCAAGTAATGATAGTTTTAAGTACCTTATAACAGTCTTCTGCTGTGTTAAATTAGATGGTGGCAACAATAACCCCAATAAATGGTGATTTTTTGTATATTCAATATAACACATGTTCAATGCTAAAATTAGATATGGAGGCATAACTACCCAATTAAGCATACAGCAGAAGCTGTATATAAGTTTTATGGTCCAAAAAATTACAAGACACTTACATAGAATACACCAAGTCTAAAGCCTGCTTGTAATTTGATCCTTTTTGATCTGCCTACTTGGACAATCACAAATGCGCAGCACATAAGCACACACGAAAACAACACAGAAAAAGAGTTACATAAACTAAGTCCAAAAAGACACGCACTAGTAAAAGTTTTCAGCTTTTAAGATTCCAGGAGACATCATGTTCAGTGAATCATGCTCTACTTGGAAAATGATGCTCATGACTATCTCAAATCCCAGGCCTTTATATAATTCTAATGATGTTTGCCAAAAACACACAACTTTCACAAATTCAAACGTGCAAGCTTCAGACTACCACACAGATTGCACCCAATCAACATGATCTCTGGCTGATCCAAGATACAACAGCGTCAAATAGATTCCAACAAGAATAATAAATTCCAATTGTCTCCTACAATCGGCCATTAGCCAGTTTTTTTCCTTCCAGTGCTTAAGGCTGAGAGGAGTAACGATCCGAACTTAGCATTATTTAAATGGCAATAATGTAAAGGACAGAAATGAATGCCTGAGCTTTCATCATTGCACAAAGCAACAGCCCTTTAAACAAAGTAAATTACTTTGGAATCACAAGAAATACGTGAAGACTCAATATCCATCTAGAAGAAGTGAACTTTAATCATAAAAGGATCCAGGAAAGGATAAACACGTATGTTAACTAACAAGCTTGAGTATGCCAAAAGAACCCCCACCACTTAACCAATGTCACTACTAATAAAAATTCCACCTGGCCATCTTAGACACCAACACTCCCAACTACTTCAACTAATCTTCAAATCTCCAAAAAATATAATGTGCTGGAATGCTTACCTGTTAATGCCCAAACAATTTGCATCAACCATTCAACAGTAAGAATCTATGACTGAACCTTCCTTTCTCAGCAACTCACAAAAGAGGACAGCCCTTCAAATTTCTATGACCTTTTACGAAAATTCTCAGAGGGTCGGTATATATCTAAATAACTATTTCCACCAGCACCACCACCTAAATCAATCTAAACATCAAAAGAACCACATGCAGAAGAGAAAAAATAATTTTTACTGTTGTGCACAAATTCAAATAAATTGTCACTCTAGGTTTAAAAGCAAAAGAACAGAGATGCTTATTTCAGATGACTAATCTAACACAAGCAAAGTAAAATGGGGTGAGCAATTACCTTGATGAAGGGTTACTGATTTCCAGATCCTTGCACTGGATGAGCACCTGGATGCTGCTGCTGCTGCTTTATCTGAAAAAGGAGATTAGCAGCAAGTTGCAGCGTTGACCGGTATCGCTCGTTCTTATCCTCAACTTCTGATGTTCCCTGATCAGATCCATATGGTGCAGACTGAAGCTGTTGCACCTGATTCATGACATCCAAATTGACTTGGTCAGACACCACTGGCATGACAGTATGCTGCTCTGAAAAACTAGAACCATGAACCACATTGGGCAATGTAACAGCATTAAGGGGTTGTTGGACTGTTGAACCCTGTAACGTAAAACCGCCTGTACCATAGCCCATCCCATTGCTCGTCTGGGAATCCTGAAGCATCACTTGCTGATGCTGATGGTCAAGCTGCGGAGAGACAGCAAACTGTGCACTCGCTGGGATTGCAAAATTAGCCAATGGCTTAGATGAAACTCCTCCGTTATGAGGCACAGCAGTAGAAGTTAATAAAGGCCTCAATGTGGAAGATCCCACGATTGGTTGGGCACTTTCTGAAAGAGAGAATTTTTCTTTGGCAGGTAAGAAAGAAGACAGAGTGGCAATGAGTTCCGGTGTCAAAGTAACTCCAGCTTGAGACACTGATATGCTAGTAACTGGCAGAACCGGATGCACATGATTCATGGAANAGTTGGTTGGGCACTTTCTGAAAGAGTGAATTTTTCTTTGGCAGGTAAGAAAGAAGACAGAGTGGCAATGAGTTCCGGTGTCAAAGTAACTCCCGCTTGAGACACTGATATGCTAGTAACTGGCAGAACCGGATGCACATGATTCATGGAATTGATTGTCAGAGGACCAAGTGGGTTTGAAAGGGGCTTTGGGTCCTCATGTGGAACTCTATTGTAATCTACCTGTAAAACTCGTCCCTCCTGGGGTGTAAAAGCGTACTGACTTTGGGAAGGAGGAGTGTGCTGCCTACTAATATAATCAGCCTGAAGTGATTGTGACATCATTGATGAGCCACTGGGGTCTGGGAAATGAAAAACCACCCCATAAAGACGTTCAGGCCCAGCAACATTCAGAACCTTCGTAAGGAAATCAGACAGAGGCACCAAGAATAAAGTGGTCCCATCATCAAATTTAGCAACACCTGCCCGGTTTTTGGTGCCCAAGTAGCGCAGAAACTCTGTATATGAAGCAAAATCCTCTTCACTATCAGGTAAAAAGAACACAATACTAAATCCAACAGCACCAGCATAGTGATTTGTTAGGATGTCCAACCCAGCTCGAGCTGAGCAATTAACAACCTCAGGCCTGCAGGAAAAGAAAAACCCAGCCCTAGATTGAGAAAACTAACAAGATCATTTGGTAGTTACAAGCCAGCAGTCTGGAACATCAATGAAAAAACAAATGAACTCTTATCTTACCTGGTTTAGGAAACTATAGCCATCTTTGGGCACTCAAACTATTATCAGTTGTCTGTGTGATAAAATCAAACCAGGTGATATCCAAGTTCATGCACCTTACAAAGAATTATACGCAACCATAGTCCAGGTACTAAGAAGCACGGACATGGACACGACATAACATGTACACATAGACATGACATTTCTCAAAAAAGTAGGACATGGACACGTTGGAAATACGCTGTAGATAATTGTGTTTTATATGTAAAACTGTATAATTTATCACAAAAATATAGTGATAATGATGATTAATCATAAGAAATTCAGTACTTTATGATAAGTAATTGTTATGTCTAGTTATCTAATGTGAAATTTTCAGACTAAAACATCATAATAGTCAATAATCATCAATTATTTTTAGATAACTCATACCCAACATATATAATTTAAATGATTGCTATTGTTTTCTCAATTTCTCTTTTTAAAAAATTTTCTATGCATCTTTTACTTTTATTATTATATTTTGAATTCAACTTTAACATGTATTGTCTTAATTATATGTTATGTTATAATATAAGATAATTGTAGGCAAAATTTTAATCTTTGTTAATTGCTTGTCAACACATGTTTATTGTTTAGTAAGAGGCATGACCTAAATAAGTGTCAAACACATCAATAAAGAAGTGTGTATGAAATTAATATTTTTTTATTTCATTATGGACATAGATAAAACAGTATTGGATACGTGTCTCTAAGAGTGTTCGAAGAGTGTCCGTGTTCGACACAGATACGTTACCTTCTTCAGAGTATCCATGCTTCATAGTTTGGGTATAGTATTCCCAAACTAGGTGGGTTCATGATCCAAGTTGCCTAAATGTCCAACCCCAAATTTTAATGCTAACCCCAAATTAATACGCTTTGGAACATGTATGATGTATCACAAATACAAGATAAACATTAATGGACTATGTGTGTAAATGTATAAATATATATAATTTTAGATAATAGGAAATGAAGCATATATGTAAAATAAATAGTAATTAACTACGTGTTTATGAATATACAATTATATATATTTTGTATAGTAGCGAAAGCAATCTTTGAGTCTCAAAACAAATTGCGACCCAAAACATATTACCAGTCAAGCCTACCCCCATTGCACCACGTACATAAGAAAGTTCAATGTACCGGTATAACTTACCAAAACAACCCACAATCCAAGTAACATTGTATGTGACCATTGCACTAGCATTGTTAATAATTTACCCCTTGGTTCATAGAGCACTACTTAATAAACTAAAAGACTTATTAAGTTGTCCATTACATAATTGTAATATCAATAATGAAACCTCCCTAATTAGTTCCACAGAAAATAGCGATAGCTGCATCTTGAGAATCACAAGAAATGGGTAATTTGACCAATTACATTCTACAAAACTAAATATTTGACAGATAGCAACATATATATTGCAGGTAAAACGAGTATCAAAGACCTAGACTAAGGGGTAACCAAATAAAAAATAATCAATATGCAAAATCATACTTACATTTCAGACCCGATCCCTTCTCCCATGGGAACACAACGAGCACGACAAACAGGTGTTCCACCCTTGGCAATAATGCCACGCCACACATGACCATGATCCTGACCAGTGCCAGCAGCTGTAACTCTAGCATCAACAGGACCAAGGCCTTCATTCCCTTGGAACGTTGCAATTTGAACTGAACTGCCACCGTCGCCAGGTGGAGCAAGCTTGTATAACTGGTCCAAGATCTGGCCCCGGTCATTCATTTTTCTAAAAGGATGAGGAGCATCATAACCAGAGCTATCAGTCCTTAGCCTCTTAGATTCCCTCTCTGGTTGGTTCGCGTCAAAAACATCCCATCCACTAGATGTGGTTCTGCTGGGTAATTTCATGACTGCTGAAGGAGACCGGAGCATCCCAGCTGTGGGTGGTGACCTTCTCCAATTTGGACCACTCATCACGTTATTGGGATTAGTGAACTGCAATTTATTGACTGTCGCCAAATCTCTGAATTCAGGGCCTGGAAGTATAGACTCAAAGCTACCTTGCGGACCCAAAGGCCTCATCAGCATATCAGGTCCATGAACACCACGAGGCGGTAACGATCCTGGAAAATAATTCGGTAACATGGGGCGATTATGTTTGTATATGTCCATCTGTGCAGGTCGAAATGGAAGTCCATTATCAAACATATCCGGCCTCGGCCCTTTAATTCCCTGATAGAATCCAGAACAATCTTTGCTTGGTGCAAACTCACTGCTTGAAAATTCGATCAATATTCTAGGATCATTAAATAGCTTGCCCTGCAATCCTTCTTTGGCAAGTCGTGCTTCATCTACACTTCTGAATTCAACGAATGAGTAGTTCCTCCCAGCAAAACATGTAATTCTTTCAATCTCACCAAATAAAATCATGGCATTGTGAAGCATCTGTTCATCAACATGAACAGGAGGAGGGTAACTTATCCACAGGACTTTACTTGGCTGTCCATCCACTTTTTGCCCTCCTGAAGATTGAGAATGCTGCAACAAACAAAATAACGAAAAGTTGTAATAACATCAAATCTAAGAGGATAGAAGGTTTAAAACTAACCCTTCATATTCAGTCCTTCAACCAAGGCAACACCATTTCAAGCAGTCAAAGTGAAGGATTAGCATCAGCTACACAAGGACTCTCACAACGTCAAATACAGTTTTTGGGAGATCCAGAAATACAGTTTAGATATTATAATTGTGAATATGAGTTTGTGCAGATTTTTAAGGTATGAGATGTAACATCCGGAAATTTGTTTTCAATAGGGTATAGCTATGTATTAGAATAAAGTGGCATGTCGATAAAAGTAATGTTTTCCTAAGTATAGACACCAATTAGAATGGTTTTTGAGGTGATTGGAAGAGGCTTGGCACTCCACCAGGGCAATTGAAACATTAAAAAATATTCCAGAATATGATGCTGGCTCGCCGCTCAAACAGACAAGAGAAAGGTTTTCCAAAAGGGAGCACTAGCTAAATACTTTCCAACAGCTCAAGCACTAGACAGGAAATCAGAGTTAAACGATGTCGTTTTGAACCTGTTAGAAATTTACTTTCATATTATGTTGTTTTTCTATTGTTATTATATATATGTGTGATAGGGTGTTAGCAACACACATCGTACCCAAAATACTGTTCCATAATATCTCTCTTCGTCTCATTCTCTTTTTTTTCCTAGACTCAACATTTAGTGACTGTGTTTCCACTAAATTGTTCAAATACTCTAGCCGAGAATGGGTTGAACCTAAAATTTTATATATTTCATCTTTCTTGATTTTTCTCAATTTTCCAATTGTTCTTTAGTAAAGATAATTTCCGCACCAACTACATCTCCTAGCTTGAATCTCTTTCTTCTTCAAGTATTTCTGATGTATGGTGTTCTTGTAGCATAAAGATTTGGTCTAAATCTTCATCACTACTTTCTTCACTTTCTATCTCATATAAAATATCTTCTATATCAGAGATTTCTCTAATATTATACTATTCATTCAACTTGGTATCAGAGCACTGATTTAAAGCGGAATTACATCAAAAACATATAGAAGACTTCAATACAGAAACTCTTCATTTTCAGTTGCTGTCATCATCTTTTGTCGGTTGACATCATGCTGACGTTAGGTTTTTCCCAGCAGCCAATCCCATGCCTAGGACCGAAACTTGGTGTTGGTATTTATGATATTTTTTATTACTTTTTTGAAATAGTTTGAATGGGGCTTTCTATTTTTGAATTTCTTGGGGAAAATTTATTGTTCTGTTGGTTTTGCGCAATCTGGTTTTTTTTGCTGCTTCTGTTAATACCTAAAGGCCCCAACTAGACCCGTGGGTGTTGCTTTGGATGACCCATGCTTGTTTGGGTTGATTTGTGAGGGTTTCTTGATTGTGGTAGGGTTCAGCTACACAATGGGTTTCTGTGCTGAGTTATTAAGCTCCTATTTTGGGTCTCTTGGGGCTTGATCCTTATTCTGTGATGGCTGTGTATGTATGGGCAGATCGGATTCCTACATCTATGTTGTGTTGTGGGTGAGATTGTTGGTATTTGTGGAATACTAGGTCTAGTTTATTCTAGTTTGAAAAATAATTAGTTGTGGGCTTCTTCTACCACATGATCAAGGAAAACCTAATATGGTTGACCAAGGAACTTATGTTTTGGTTTTGATATGCTCATTAGCTTTGCATCGGTTCTTATTTGAGTGATTGGGGTTCTCTGGACTGTTGGGTGTTGTTGTTAGCCATTGTGGAGCATTCGATCAACAATGAGTGTGTTTCTCACCCGTGGTTTCATCTTGTATGGAGTTGAATATTCCTACTATTATTTGTTTTAATGGGCACTCAAGTTGATATCGCAAGTGAGGGTAATCTTGGTGTTCATGGTGGAGTTTGCGGTGATGGTGGAGGATGTGGTCCACTCAATAATTCTAATCAAGATATTAGTTGTGGTAGACACGGTTGTCATGATAATCGTTTTGAGTGCGATAGCATAGGACATACTGAAAATTAAACTTGGGATAAATATGGGAGACCAACATATGCTAATCATACTCCTGATGATATTTAGATTCTCGAGTGCATTAGACTTTCTCCCAATGATCCAATTACATCTACTTCTAGCTCTCATAATGATATCTCTTCTCTGCTTAGTCAGCTCATTTAGCAGTTACTTCACTTTTTCACTAGAAAGCATGGATACATATACGAGATATAGGTGCGATACGATACACATACGGCAATACGACAAAATCTCAAAAAATAAGATACGGGTACGACTAGAATACTTCTATAAAAACATATATCTTATATTTGTATTATAATGTAATGACTTGATAGTTATAATTTTTAGTGATTCTTTAACAATAATAATTAACGTTAATATTTATTTTCAAAAATCCACACATTGTCTCACTGTAGTACATCTACAAAGTAAACGTGATTAATTAAAAGAATAAGAACCGCCATTTAACTAGATTGTTTACTTAGAAGTGTTTGTTGCTAAAATTATAGTGCACCCAACTCATTTATACTCTTTGGACATGTAATCGTAAATATTATTTGGAAAACATTCATTTGCCTTCAAAGTTATATTGATTGTTGTTGATAATTGCATTGTATGTGAAATTGAAAGGAAGGGGTAAAGATTAAAACTAAAAATTACACATATTTTTATGCATATAAAAGTATCCATATATTTTATTTATTTTTAGATCTGATGCGTATTCAATATGTATCATTGAGTATTCGACAAGTATCGTATCCGATATGGATATGTTGACCTTGAAAAAGTATCCGTGCTTTATAGCTTTTGCAACATTTGTCTACTCTTGTCACCGATTTTGCTAATGGAGGTAACTCTACATGTGTGGATCCTAACCAGTTTCATCCTCTTGAATCATTGATTTATGAGCCAGTGTTTATATGTCTAGTATTTTTCTTTCCCATTCTCTATTTTTTGTTCTTCGAATTCACATATTGTGTTAACAGACGATTCTTTTTGAACAGTACATAGGACTAGCAACCTCCATCCNCAGTGTTTATATGTCTAGTATTTTTCTTTCCCATTCTCTAATTTTTGTTCTTCGAATTCACGTATTGTGTTAACAGACGATTCTTTTTGAACAGTACATAGGACTAGCAACCTCCATCCTACTCCTCTATGCCATTAACCTCTAGTTTATTTGTGCCTAATTTTCTCTTTAACTTAGTATTTGTGAGTTAGTTAACTAAGTTCTCATAATATCCAGTAACCTTTTCTCCATCTCCAGGACAAAGAAAGTGAATTAGTTTGGGGAATGAGAGCAATGGGCAGGCTCTACTACTTGGACCCTAGAGGTTCTACTCCTATTTTGAGTGTTACCATGTTTCCACTCTAATGGTATTTTCGACTGGGTTATCCTTCCTTACAAAAGTTGGGTGAAATCCTTGGTTTGAGTTCTTCTTTTGTGTTAGAATGTGTGGCCTGTCAATTAAACAAGTATCGTCGTAGGTCTTTTACTCCTACTTCTCCAAGTCAATCTAGTCTCTTTCATGTTGTTCATTTTGACATTTAGAGTCCTACAAGGGTTAAAAGTATTTTTGATTTTCCATATATTATAATAATTGTTGATGGCTTCTCTTGTATAACTTGGTTATTCCTTGTGAAAGATCGAACTGAATTGCCTAAGGTCTTTACCACTTGTACTGAAATTTTCGTTTCGTTTCGTTTCGTTTCATTTGACAGCCATATTAAAGTTATCCTATGTGAGAATTCAAAATTTTGTAAATCAATTTTAGATCATTNATTTGACAGCGATATTAAAGTTATCCTATGTGAGAATTCAAAATTTTGTAAATCAATTTTAGATCATTATGTTAAAGTATTTGTGTTATTAATTTTATTAGTACAAAATTTAAGATTTAATCATACAGTTCAAAAAAAATTGTTTTCGAGTAAAAATCTAATTTAATCAAACTTATAGAGTAGAGAATGTAGTAAAGTAAAAATTGGGCCTAAGAGAGATGAGTCCTACCCAGTTTTTGTAGAAGTTGACAAAAAAAAAAGGTGGAAGAGCTTTCATACATGCAAGGTCTGGTAAAAGTGTACAAGTTAATGACAAGTGCCCATGAAAAGCTTGCATACATGCATATGGCATTGTATATATTACCTTTAAAGGGAGAAAAAGCTAAAGGGAATCTCACCCTTTTTAGCCCAGAGAGAGAGAGAGAGAACTCTTTTCTTACTATTTGAGAGGTACAAAAATACAACTCNTAGAAGTTGACAAAAAAAAAAAGGTGGAAGAGCTTTCATACATGCAAGGTCTGGTAAAAGTGTACAAGTTAATGACAAGTGCCAATGAAAAGCTTGCATACATGCATATGGCATTGTATATATTACCTTTAAAAAAGCTAAAGGGAATCTCACCCTTTTTAGCCCAGAGAGAGAGAGAGAGAGAGAGAGAACTCTTTTCTTACTATTTGAGAGGTACAAAAATACAACTCATGCTGGGATTCTAGAGTTAGTCACCTCAAATAATTGTACTTGGAAGGATCATTGGGTATTAATCATTAAGTATTTTAAGTAAAGATTTAGATAAATAAGTACTCAAAGCTTAGAGGATTCATCAAAGGTTATATACCCGAGTTAAATCTTTGATTTGAGGTAGGAAGAATAACTTCTTGGTTCTCTTCTTTAATTTCTATTAATATAGCATGTTTATAGTGATTATTTATTGTAATTTATTTATGTTTGAAATTTGTATCCATCTAATGCTTGAAGTTTTTTAAAAATCATGGCCTTAGAATTTTGATATTAAAATTTAAGGTATGAAAGAAGACATGTGCATCAAGTTTCAGAAAAATTTTCAAGTCCAAATACTTTCTGTAGAATTTTACATAGTTGTTCAAAACTCACTGTTATTGCAAAAATTTCTGGTTCTGCTACAATACTTGTGGAGTTATTTTAACCAACTTCCCGATCTCTAAATAATATGAAACGTTTACAATAAGTAGGTATATGTGTCTATTGTCTACCTTACAAAATTTGGCACGAAAATCAACTCATACAATTTTTGGAAAATTCTGAAAGCTGCTGAGGTTGTCTAGAACAGCAAATCACTAACAGTCATT